GCTTGGATCAGGGAGACCCAGGGCCTGCTTTAGGTCAGCTTTGATGGACCTTGTATTGTAGAATGTGACCAAGAGTTGAGAAGTGGGATCCTGAGATAAGGAGGTTGTTGGGAAGAGGAAAATAAATAGATTTGAGAATCTATTGAACAGCATCAACTCATAAATCAGTTTTGTTCATCGTGTGTCTAATATTGTGCTAAGTGGTTAATACACATTGTTCCATCAAATCCTAACAGCTCATGAGGATTGTTAAGATCCCTATTTTCCAAAGGAGACAAAGGAACTGTCTCAGAGCATCCAGTAGTCAGTGGGAAGCCACGATTGAAGCCTAAGAATCCTGATTCTGACTTGTCCTTCCCAATAGGCAGGGCATTTAGGATGGCTCCAGGAGTCAGTGCAGACTGGACTGGTCAGAATGTGCCAGCGAGCACTGCTCTGTGGAGAAGGGAGTGTGGAGAAAGCCTAGAACATTCTCCAGAGATCTCTTCCAGAAAGTTTTTGGAAGGCCTGCACTCTGCCCTGAGAAGGGGAAGGGTGTTGAGTTATACTTGAAGACTTGAGGTAACATCCATGTTGTCCAGTCACCTGGGGTCAAGGTTCAAACTAGCTCTTCTCTGAGGCTCCCTCGTTGAGGGAGGCCTGTGACTCTCTGAGTCTGCATCTATGCACACCTGGCTCTGCAGATGGCCCATTTCAGGATGTCCCAGTTCCCCTGCCCTTTACCCCAGTGTTGGGACCCTTGTCCTTAGAGCAGGCCACCTCTCAGGAGAATCCTGACAGAGTAACAGCAGAGGGCAGGCTCCAGGCACTAGTCCTGGGTCCGCTCAGCCACACTCCTCGATGCAGGGCACCATGCACGGGTTTCACAGTCAAGAAATTGCTGAAATAATCATGAACTGCTTTCTAAGTGGGAGGAGAGGTAAACCGAACTTGAAGCAGTCATCTCTCCCTCTGCTCGGTCAGCTCTCTGGGCCCCGGGGACCATGTCCTGCTCATCCCAGTCCCCTCCCCTTCAGCTGAGGTGCAGTGTCAGACACACAGCTCCACAGAAATAGCTTTGCTCATTGGTCCATGGCTAGAACAGCGACTGACACGCGTGGTCATTCACAAATATTTATTGGCTAAGTGAATATATCTTGTTGTGTACCAGAACTGACCCACAGCTGACCCACCAGAGTAAATCACTGGGGAAGGAAACTCCCCACGTTCCTCCCTCAGGGGAATCGTGTACCTTTGGATTGGCAGTGTAATTCCTCACCGGTAAACCATGAGAGCTCCCTTAGTGACTCTGTCAGTTGTATATATAGAAGAAATGATCTTCCAGACAATGCTGACTGCTTAGAAGTAGATCACCAGGCCTTTCTTCTGAGGGACATCAGGGTGGACTCAAACAGCCAACTTTCTGGTAACCCCATTACTCTTTTGCATCACCTGGGGGAGTCTGGGTTGCATGCATTGAGATAATGTGTGACTTTCACCCCTCTCCCCTCTGAACACTTGTTGCACATTCTGTTCAGCATATCCTGCCCTCACACTCTTTCAGTCTCATCTCCTGGCCCATCTGTCAGCCCTTGCTAAACTTTACCTAACAGCAGTCTCATCCCCCACCTCCACCCTCGAGGCCTAGAAACCAGACTGAGCTAGTTCCTCAGGAGCTTTATTGAAAGTAGTGAGAAGTACCACTGTAACCTCCCAGTGGACATGTGTCCTCAAGCTCATACCAGGTCTGCTTCGGGGCAGACAAACAGACAGGTGGCAGGGCAGGGCAGGTGGCAGGGGCAGCGGGAAGGGCGCACCAGGAGCAGCTCAGCTCTAGAGGGGGGCTGGGGCCTGCTCCTGTTCCTGCTCCTGGAGGGGGAGCACGACCGGCTGGTTCTGGCTCTCTTTCTCTTTGAGGGTGCTGAAGAAGGAGTTGACTTTGTCTCTCAGGTCCTTCTCCAGGAAGACCAAGTGGCCTTCCACGTCCCCCGCGAAAGGGCCGAGCGTCTGCCTGAGCTCCCCCATTTGCTGCACCAAGACTTTGTTGAAGGTCTCGCCGTAAGACCCCACGCTGCTGCGGAACTCCTCCACCTGGCGGTCCAGCTGGCTGCTCAGCTCGGCCAACGACTTCTGCAGCCCCTCGGTGTTGCCCTGCAGCCTGCCACGCACATCCTCGGCCACAGGCACCAGCTTCTGCTTCAGTTCCTCGGCTTTTGCGTCGATCTTGACCTTCAGCTCCTCTGCGTTCTTCTTCATCTGAAAAGCCAGGCCCTCGAGCTGGTGGTTGAGCTTCTCCTGGACTTCCTGGGCATATGGGGCCAGCCTGCGGTGCAGCTCCTCCATGTTCTCGTCAATCTTGGTCTTGAGCTGGTCCGAGTAGGGTGTGAAGCGCGCCTTGAGCTCCTCCACGTTCTGCTCCACCTTGGTCTTGAAGTCGTCGGCAAAGGGCGCCAGGGAGCTCTGCAGGTTCTCCGCGTTCTCACGCAGCACAGCCTGCATGCGCTGCGCCACGGGGATCAGCTGGCTCCGGAACTGCTCCGCCTGGGTGTTGACCTGGGCGCGCAGCTCCTCGGCGTAGGGCTGCAGGAGCTGCTGCAGGTCGCGCACGTTGTCGCCAATCTTCTGGCTCACCTCCTCGGCGTGGGGCAGCAGCGTGGTGCGCAGATCCTCCAGCTCCTTCCGAATCTCTTCCTTTAGCTTCTCCGAATCCTTTGTCAGGCGCTCGTGCAGCTCTGTGGCGAAGGGCACCAACTTCGTCTGCAGGTCGCTGGCGTACGTGTTCATATCCCCAAGTTTGTCCTGGAAGAGGGCGCTGTTGGCAAAGGGTACAAGGAGTTGTCATCTCAGGACGGAACCTTGTCCCGTTATAAACCACACAGTCGGTACACACGCACCTGGGACATTTGTGTCCCTTGTGACTCTCCCCATGGTGTGTAGATCATGACTTGAGGAACTGGTAAGATAGACTACAGTTATAATTCAGAATTGGTCTCTCTGGAGCATAAAGTCTCTACTGGTCCTGTGGCCTCAAGCAGTTTGCTTTGCCCTCCTCCTCCTGAACAGTGCAGAGGTTGGACCTTGAGGCCCTTCCCAGCTCAGGGACACTGTGGCATAGATTCACATTCCCTAAGACAATGCTGTAAACTGGATCCTTTCCAGTACCTTCCAGTGACACAAGATGCCAGTTTCTTTGTGAGCACCCACACTCAGTGGCTTCCCAAATACCATATCTCCTTCCCCATGATCCCACTGAAGCCTGTCCTTCTGGAATAAAGAGGCCAGATCCCATTTGCAGTTCCCTCCCACCTGCCTTCCATGAGCTTCCAGGCTAGAATGTAACCATTTTGCAAAACTAGAAAGTTGAAGCAGGAAGGCGCAGTCCAGCCCCCCACCCCACCCTGTTTACATACGAGGACCCTAGGACTCTGCTGGTGAATTAGTAGCAGAGCAGTGGGCGTTCTGAGCTTTGCTCTCCTGCCTCCCAGCTCAGCCCTTGCTGGCTCACTGTCCTGCCCTGCCTGCAGCCTGTTCCCTTCTTACTTGATCTGCTGGCTGAGCTCAGACTTCTGGAAATGCTCCACAGCCTCCTCGGCATTATTCTTCAGCTGGCTGAAGTAGTTCCACACCACAGAGACCACCTGGTCAGGGTTGACCTCAGTACGGGCACCTGGACACAGAATCGACGGTCATTCACAAACCTAATTTCCTCCCTTGTCCCCCTGCATTATTGCCCTTAAATTGCTGGATAATACTGGGGAGCCAAACCCACTCTTCCCCTTTTTGTGCTTCGCAGGTTGGAAGACCAGGGACATAAGAAACTACTCTGGCACCAGTACCAGTCCTATGTCTGGACGTGGGTCACCTCTCTTGTGACTGACAACTAGGCAGCTCCTTGTGTCCAGATGGGGGTTAACTAGCACTCAGACTGTCACCTCTTTCAGTCTTTCCACCCTGTCCCACTCTATGCAGCAGCTGGGTCCTACTTGACCACCCCATCCAGGAATAGCTTGTACTCACTGGTAACAGCCACCAGGGCCAGGACCACGACCACAGTCTTCAGAAACATCTTGGGCACGTCTCTGGGCTGGAGTAGCCCCACACCGCACTGGACTCTTGCTGTAATCCGAGGCACCTGGTGGAGAGGTCCCAAGGTGTGTCAGCTATGCTGCTGTTCCACTGGACTGAATGAAGCTCAGAGCCAGCCAGACATTTAAACCCCCACCAGGCGCCCCTCCCCACCTCCCTCCACGCTGGAAGGTGACACATTCCCGGGAGGCCTCTTGGACTTTTGTGACCCTAAGAAGACGTGGCAGCTGACAGCAGACTGAGGCCGGGGAGGCAGTCAGAAGGAGCTGTCCTCTGCTCAGGCCCCACCCAGTGTGAAAGGAAGGAGGCAAAGAGCTGGGGGAGAAACAAGGTCCAGGGAAGCCCCTGAACCTGGAGCTGAAGCCCCAGAGGCCCTGATGGCAATCTTGGATATGTGTCAGATTGGAGGACCAAATCCGTGTCTCTTCTGTTGCTCAGCAGAGAGAGCCCCCCGCCCCATCTGCCACCAATCCTACCTCGATCTTCAGAGCACCACACACTGTCTGAGGACCATCTAGGGCTGCAGATGTGAGAACTAAGACCTAGGTCTCTTGACAAGGCACTTCCAGGAGGAGGGAACCCTTGGGAGCCTACAGCAGGTAGGAGGTGTGGGCAGGGAGCTTGTTGCCATGCCCTCCCACTGTCAGTGTGTTCCACCTTGGGCTCATCATTTGATGCTCTGAACCTCCACTTCTCTACGGGAGAAAAATAATAGGGTTGTTAGGCATATTAAATGAGAGGCAACTTGTCCAGTGGCTCATATAGTGCCTGGCACAGAATTAGCACTTAAAATTTTTGTTATCATTAATACTAATTATTTTTCTGATTTGAACCTAAGCAGGAAGTGGAGTGCTAAGCCCTCCAGTGAGCATGGTAGATGTTTGGCCCAGCCCTCTTGGGATCCCCAGGAGGACATGAGGCAGGATAAAAGGGGCAAGGTAGTCTATGGCTTGATTCCTAGCCCCAAGCAGTGGTGGTGCCCCCCATCTATGCCCAGTCACACTCCCTGGACAGGAGCAGTCTGCTTGGGCAGAATCACAGACCTGTGGCTCTCCAGGGGCTTGTCCCTGGGAGAAAGGATCAATAATAGTAACATTTAGAAGGTCTTCTATCTAAAATGTCTATATCAACAACAACAACTGTTACATTCAGAGGCACAGGAAGGTGACCATGCACCAGCATGGCTTCCTCTGTTGGACTACCCACCCCTCTGTTATCAAACCCAAACCTACTGTCGTTCTGTCCACTCCAATTCGTGGTGGCCCTGCATCAGCTTCTGAGGTTGTCAGTCTTAATGGGAAGAGACTACCCATCTTTATCTCACAGAGCTTGGTAGATTCGAACCATTGACCTTTCAATTAGCAGCCCCATGAATAATGAATTAGGATAATAGGACTCCTTGCACTGCTTTTAGTGTCTTATGAAATATTGTCCATCCTTTTGTGTCATTGGTTCTTTTCCACAAGCACAGTGGTCAGCACGGAGGAGGGCTCCCAGCTACTTGTAAAATGAATGCCACAGGAATAAGACTATAATGCATGTACTCTTTCTTCAGGGTCTTCACCGGGTGGTCCCCAGACCACTTGGTCATTTCCAGGGTCATCCCATGTCACCTATCAACAGTTGTTGGAAGTTTGGACTCTGTGCATCTGGACTCCATCGTTTACTATCTGTGTGGCTTTGGGCAAAGCTCTTAACCTCTGTGAACTTCAATGACTTCACCAGGTCCCGCACATCCACCAGGTCCTGCACATCTTCTTCAATGACTTTTCCAGGTCCCACACATCTTCTTGAGTTGTAAAGATTCAATGACATAATCTATGTAATGCTCGGGATAGTACTTGGCACACAGTGTTCCTGAAATGTCATGCTTTACTTCTGAAAGGTTTATTTCCCATTGGGAACATTGACCCATTGGTTTTAGACCTACTTCTGAATCAGACACAGTTCAGTCTGCGGTGAGGTACTCATGGGTGACACTTTGACCCTCACCCTCTTTTTGGACCAGAGATGAGGTGGAGAATGAGTCATGAAGGATACTTCAGCTGCAGTTTGACCTCTTGGACTTAGACTGTGAAGAGCAGCAGATGCTTGTATGTGGCAGGTTCAAGGTGCCCATCTCCGCGTCCGGGTGTGCCTGCACTGATTGGTGTATGTCCTGGGTGCTCACCAGGCTGTGTCCAGACTCACATCAACATGCAAATATTTTAATTGATGGTGGGCAAAGAGATAAAGCCAGAGTTGAAGGGTTGGCATAAGGCCTGTGTGTACACAGAGGGAGGGCATGCTGTCGACAACAGGCTGTAGATGCAACACTGTTTATGAACATCTTTAGACCCAAGTCTGTGGAGATCTTTTGGCTCAACATGTAAATGGATTTGGGGGGCGGGGAGAGAGAACGAGACAGGGTGTCAACACCTTCACGAGGACGTGGCCGTGGAAATCAGGGCAAGTCCATGATCATTGGCCACAGAGGACCTGTGTGAGTTTGGGAAGTCACCTCTCCCTCTATGAGCCTCAGTTTCCTTGTTTGTACAACCGAAAGACCTAGTAATGGTTGGTGCAGCAGGGAAGCCGCTCTCTCAGCATTTCCTCACAGGCACCCCCTCTGTGCACTCACACAAGTATTTATCCAGGGGCCAGCATCAAGAGGGGGTGGCTCAACAAGAGACACAGCCAGGGAGAGGGCAGGCAAGTTATGCTGAAACGCCTCCTCACACATGTTATACACTGGCCCCCACCAGAGGCAAGCTCCTGTTGTAATAGGGATATGCAGGTGAGAAGTAGGAGGAGCTTCCAGCACAGAGAGAAGTAGGTGAACAGGGTGGTCTGAATCAGCACCACTGGTCTAACCTGGCAGCAGGATTACAGCTCAGCTGGGTTCATACGCTAAACCACAAAGCAAAGCAGAAAGTTGCCCAAAGCCCAGAGGATCACGGTGGGGCCAGGCTGGTCCAGCCTGCTGGTCTCTCTACGTGCTCTTTGTTATTTCCAAAAGCCTGTGCCTGACGCAACCCAGAGTAGGCATCTCATTCCATTGCTTAACCAAAGTCTACTCTCAGGAAGAGATCTAAAGCTAATTTGCTCTCAGATGTGAACTGACGGATACATCCTCAAGGGCCTCGTTTTTCAAGGCTATCTAGCACCAGGCTGAAAACTCAAAGACCTGCACCCTGTGTGCAGGTAAGGAGGGATTTTTCCCCCTCTGAGCTTTGGCTTTCTCATTGTAAGTTCGGGTTATTAATGTGTACTTACAGAGTCCTATTTCCATTTTAACAGAAAACAAAAATTTAAGCAAAGGAATGAATTTCTACTTGAGGAATTTCAATCCTTCATTAAAGAAGGAATTCTTAGAGTGTGTCCAGGACTTCCTCAGTCCTCTGATTTTAAACTGTGGAGTTAGTTACTTCTTCAGTGAGGAATGAACACTTGTCTCAACTATTTCTGCATTAGGAGCTCCTCTTGCTTTCAGACAATGCTGTCGAGGGAGGTACGGTTTTGGGGCAGAAAAGAGGGATTTCATGACCCACTTGCTTTGCATATTATTTCATTTACTATTCACCACAGTTTGGGAGAGTAATATTCTCCTATTTCACAGAGGAGAATATTGAGGATCTGTGATATATCTCTGTTATTAGATGCCGTCAAGTCAGAAATGATTCATCTTTGACCCCCCCAGAAGGTTTTCAGAAGCTGTAAATAACATGAGAGGAGACTGCCCATCTTTCTCCCATAGAGCAGCTGGTGGATTCGAACCATATGACTTCAGGTTGGCAGTGCAGCTTCTTACCACTAGGTTAAAAGAGCTCTCTTACGTTTCTGGTATTTATATAAGAATTTTAGTCTTGATATGTAAGAACTAAAGGCATCATTTAAACTTTGATTGTTGATTCCAAAGCCCTAGCATCAATAAAACAAAACCCTTGATCCTGCCAGAGGGACTACAGCTTCCAGTGTAAGCCCAGGAGATGCTTCATCCCATGAGAGCCTGAGCCTCTCTTCTGGCTAGCCAGCTGGGCCTACCAAGTTCCTCAGATGCCCTCTCACCACCCCATGGTCCTCAGCACAACTTCTGCCCCTGGCCAGGGTGCTTCGGAGGGTGCTATTTCCAAGCTGAGAAACCCAGGGCCCCAGGCTGGGATACTTGGGGCTGAGAACTAATCTCAGAGCCCACCCTTGTGGGGAGGCCTCTAGCCATGAGTCCAGCTCCTGCTCTAGGCAGTGTTATCAGTGGGTCCAGAGGGCAAGGTAAGGAGGAGGAAAGAGGGGAGGGACGAAGGCCTTGAGCTCAGAGTGGCCTTTGTCCTCCCCCAGCAACTCCTGCCCTTGGCCTTAGCTGGTGGAGGCTTCTGGGTAAGCAGTGCATGGGAATGGAGCCTAGACACAGTGTCATCCCTTTCCTACACTAGATTCAGGGTCTATATTTCCCTCATCCACATCCTAAATTACTGAGAAGGGGCATTTGCTCTCATGTCTGACAATTGCTCCATGGTTCCACCTCCTTGCACTTTACCCCTCTCCTGTTTTCAGGGCTTGGTAATGTGGAGGGATTGAGGCTGGGCAGAGAACTGAGAGATCTGAAAACTCAAATATGAAGGGCTGAGATGGAGCCAAAGTCCCCTAGCTTGTTACCTAAGTCCTTTCCCATCATGCCTAAAAAGGCTTAACTACTAGGAAGGAATGGGGTCTCCCCAGGCACCACAACTCCCAGTTTCCTGAGCCTTTGGGTTGTTGGGGTGGCAGGAGAGCAGCGTGGGCACCCACTGTTTCCTAGCGATTTCCCAATTCTCCCAGCAGGCCTGGCTGCATCTCGCCACCCTGTCTCAGGCCCTGGTCTGGACTGGTCAGCAGGTGACCTTTGACTGGCTCACCTGGCTCCAAGCGCCCACGGCCTGGGGACAATATAAAACAGGTCAGCACCCTCTTGTCTGTCTGTCCCGTTCATCCCAAAGAAGCAGCTGCTCCAGGTAAAGTCCTCTGGGGTGGGGGAGGAGAGAAGGGCGGGGAGACGCAGAGGCAGGCCCTTGCTTCTTGTTCAGCAGAGAAGGTCCCAGGGCTAGATGTGAGTCCCCTGATGTGCAGCAGGTTCAGGGAGGGCCATCTGCCCCAAGCCACCCGGTGCTCAGTGGTGGCAAAGTCTAGGCCGGAATCCAGGAGTGTTCCAGTCCCCAGTCTGGTGGGCTTCTACTGCACCCCACACCACCTCCCTTCTGTCTGAACCTGGGCCTCCTTGAGCCCCTGACTGAGAGCCTTGGCTTCCCATGATGTGCGGGAGCAGGCCTCTCTCCTCAGAGCTTGCCCCGCTCAGATGTCACAGTAGGAGCTCCAGCACACCCCCGGGGCCCAGTGGTGGTGATGATGAGGTGGAGACTAGAGTGCCCCTCACAGGACACTTCTTCACTGCAGGAACAGCGGTGCCATGCAGCCCAGGGTCCTCCACGTCGCTGCCTTCCTGGCACTTCTGGCCATGGCCTGTAAGCACTTTGTGGGGATTGGGCCTGGCGAGGGTTAGGGGAGCAGCCAGCTGTCTTGAGAACTCTCAGGAGTTTGACCCCCTGGAACCTGTGGCTGGAGGGGTTGAGGGCCTGCCCTGCAAGCCGGTCCACTCAGCTCAGCTCCTGCTCTCCGCACAGGGGCGCAGGAGCCCGTCGAGGCCGAGGACGCCTCCATTCTGGGTGTCGTACAGGACTACATGCACCAGGCTGCCAAGACTGCCCAGGATGCACTGACCACCGTGCAGGAGTCCCAGATAACCCAGCAGGCCAAGTATGCCCACTGGCTTTCCCTCCCCTAACCCTAACCTCCACACAAGCTCCCACCACCCCAGCAGACATGGGCTTCAAATGTGGGGGGGGGTCCTGACCCTGGGTGAGAGCCCTTCCCACGCAACCCAGGGCCTGGGCCTCTCTCAGCCTCATGCCCAGAATCTTCTGAGAGAAGGTGGTCCCGCTCGCAGTGTTTTATAGGGGGCAAGGCTAGGTGCCTGAGGGGGGACTCTCCATCCTTCTGTCTTTTCCTGGCCTCTTGCCCTCACTTCTGGCCTCTTGCACCTTCAGGTGTTGCTGCCCTCAGGTGGGGCCATATCTGCCCTCACTTGCACTTTCCTTTTCTGATAGACTGGCTGGAAGTTTCTCTTGGGGGACCCCACTCCCTAAAAGTTCATCCTAAGAGGGCATTTTCCTGTGAGTTTTTCAGCCCAGGTGGCCAGCCTGGGGAGTGCCTAGGTAGTGGGAATAGTGAATGTCCTGGACTGCTAACTGGAGCACTGGAAAGCCCTTGCTGCCTGCCCAGCTACTTCCCACGTAACCACTCGCTGTGGCACCTTTGTCTGTGGTTCCCAGGAACACTGCTGGGCTAGGGCCAGCAGGGAGGCCATGAGGGTATGGGGGTGGGGGTGTCCCATGGCTCTCATATACTTCTATTACTTTCCCTCACTGATTGAACCCACAGGGGCTGGATGACAGAACGCTTCACCTCTCTGAAAGACTATTGGAGCACATTGAAGGACAAGTTCTCTGGGTTCTGGGATTCAACTCAGGAGGCCATGCCAACTCTGATTCCTGAATTCATATGAGACCTCTATACCCCGTGGCAACCTTCCCGTCCATCCTGGCTCCCTAGGTCCTCCAGACTGCAAAGGTCGTTTGAAAGGGACAGCTTTCTCATCACCCCTCCCACCCCACCCAGGGTTTGGGTATCCGGCCCTCCCAATAAAGCTGGGCACGAAGCTGCCGTGACTTGGACGTCCCACTCGTGCCGTGTGTGCTTGGGCGTGGCGCTGGGTCTGCTGTTCTGGGTGGGGGCACTGACTGTACAGGTGCCGGTTTGGGCAGGCTTGGCTTCCAGTGCCCTCTCCATCGCTAGGGGCTGAGTGATCTGTGGGCCTGAATGTCTTTACCTGTAAGGTATCAGTAGCCCTACCTACCTGGACAGAAAATCATAGAGTAAGAACACTTAAGTACTGAACAAGAGAACTTAAGTGTGTGCTCCATCCAGGCTCTGTTTTTGTCACTGTCCTTCCACCATTAGAATTGTAATCACGCAACTTCGCCGAAACAGTGAAGCTGACTGGTGCTGCCTCTTCACCTGCCTCTCAGCCACACTTGAAGGAAGGCAGGCAAGTTGGGGTAGTAGTTAACATCAGGTACATAGTGACCCTCTGGTCTTGGCTCCACCACTTGGCCAAGCCGTAAGTTTCTTATCTGTAAATTGGGTACAATAACAAGACCATGTGGTGTAGTTTTGTTCTGAGAATGAAATGGAAGGGTGTTTAGAAGTATCTGAAGCAGCACCTGGCTCATCAAAGGTGCCTGGATAGTGGTTGTTGTTACTGTCAGGAAGAACTGATTGTTCCCATAGGGCCAGGAATGGAGTGGGTGTTGCGTAGATGTCATGAGAATTAAGAAGGAACTCAGGTCACACCAACAGAGATTGTTGCCCTAGTGTCCCCACCATGTAGCAGATGCTCACATCAGACACTGACCATCTAAGTAGGAAGAAACAGTTTCTGAGAGGCGACAGCATTCGCTCAGTATCACAGAACTAGCCAAGAGCAAGCTCAGATCCCAAGCTCAGGTCAACTACCCACATTTTAGGAAGCTCTGGTGCTTTAGTGGTAAGGAATTGCACTGCTGACCCAAAGGCAGTCTTGTTCAAATTCCTTAGCTGCTGCTCTGTGGGGAAAAGATGGGCAATCTCCTCCCACGATGTACAGCTTCTGAAAACTTGGTGGAGTATCAGCTGTGAGTCAGTTCTGACTTGACAGCACACAATCCCTATTCCACTCAGCCAGCACAGAAAGAAAGCCTTGTTACCAGAGAGAGAGGAGAGTAGGTTTCCAGCACACTGCATGAGGAGACAAAAGGTCATGTGGGGAGAGAGTAAGGCTGGCTCCTGCCTGACCTGTGAAGCTGTGTGCATGCACACAGGGTATGTATGTGAGTGCGAGGGAGGGGCAGACTGCACGGAGGGGTGCATGTGAGAAAAAGTCTGTGTGTGTATGCACACAGGGCACAGAGTGTGTATATGAGTGTGAGGAGGGGTGCATATGAGTATGTGTGTGTGCACACAGGGTATGTGAGTGAGCGGAGGAGGGGTGGACTGTGGATGGAGGGGTGTATGTGAGAATGAGTATGTGTGTGCACATCCACGTGAACCCCAGTGCCTGGCCACACGCTTTTCTTTCATAAAAACAAGTATGGAAGCCTAGTTCAGATGGTCTATAAGGGTGCCTGGTGCATCCTGTTCTTTAACTTCTATGAGTGGCCATGTATTTCTAAGCTTCAGCTTGCTCATTTGTAAAATTAGTTTCATTTCAACGTACCCCAGGATTTTGGGAAGGGTGCTATGCTGTCATGGGTATAAAAGCATTTCCTTGTTTTTGTTGTTTTGTGCCATCAAGGTGACTGCAACCCATAGTGACCCTCTGTACAACAGCTCTGAAGCCTGCCCTGTCCTGAGCCAGTCTCACTAATTCTGACACACCAACTCCCATTGCCCCAGTCACTGCATCGATACAACTCAGCCAGAGTCTCCCTTTCCTGCCTTCACCTCCTCCATCCTTCAGTGCATGTCCCTCTCCAGGGACTGGTCCCTCTTGGCCACGTGTCTAAAGTATGTGAGATGGAGTGTCAAAATCCTCACCTCCAAGGAGCAACATGGTTTCACCCTCTCCAAGACAGACCTATTTGTTTTTTTTGGCAGACCATGGTATACTCAAGACTCTTCTCCAGCACCACGATAAAAATGTGCTAGTTACGTGCCAGATATAGTGCTGGCAGAAATAGGGAGAGGCAGGGCATGGAGCTTTGTGGAAGGGAGGGCAGAGATGGCTGGCTTTCACAGTTGTGGGAGTGTGAGCAATTGCCCAGGTCCAGGAGTTTGCTGAATTAATAAAGGAGGAAGAACACACTACAAGCTCTTTATTCAAGCCTACCTGGATCTTGGCCCCTTGTTGTTATGTACCAAGGAGTCAGAACCGGCACAGAGCTGAACCTCCAGTGGATTTTTAGAGGCAGTAAACTGCATGGAAGGAGATTGCCCATTTTTGTCACACAGAGCAGCTGGTAGATTCCAACAGGGGGCCTTGAGTTGGCAACTCATGCCTATTAAGAGGCAGAGAGCTGGCAAAGGCTCCTGTCATCTGCCCACATCATCACCATGCCCAGCTCCTCCCACCTGAACATCTCTGGGAAATGGACACTTATTTTTCCCAGGAAAGCCAAGCCTCATCCCTGACCCTCGTCAAACATGGTTCCCTGACTCTCTTCAGGGTCGAGCTCTTGCTAGTGGAAAGTGTTTTTTCCTTAGAAAAGGGGCAGATGCAGCCTCGCTCCTAAAGTGCCCCCAGCCTAGCCAGGGGTCCAGAAAGCCCACTGAGGGAAACTCTGACGAGGTCCCAGTCTAGGATTGATGTTGGTGCGTACCATCACCCAGTGGGTTCTCAAGGGCAGTTAATAGCATGGGAGGAGATTGTCCAGTTTCCCCGCCCAGCAGAGCAGCTGGTGCCTTCGAGCTGGCAGCGCAGGTCTTTCCCACCAGGCCACCAGAGCTGCTCTGGAAAATCAACACCGGAAGTCCCTACCCGCAGGCTCAAGGCTCCACCTGGCCCTCCAGCACCCAGCACCCCACGGCCATTCCCCCACAAAAAAGAAGCTGCTTCCAAATTTGGAAAGGTTTATTCTATGATACCCAAGGTAGTAAGGGGAACGCAGAGCAGGGTTCTGGTCCTAGCCCTCGACCCCCGGGTCTGGCAGCGGGCCTCGCGGCGGCGAGCGCCTCACTAGCTCTGCAGCTTCTTGCTGGCCTCTTCGACGGCTGTCTGGAAGCTGGCCTTCAGGGCCTCCATGACGGGGATGAGGCCCTGGCGGAAGTCCTCCAAGGCGGGCTTGGCCTTTTCGCTGAAGGTGGTCAGGTGCTCTGTGGCCTTGGTGTGGTACTCAGACAGGATGGCGCTGTCCTTGAGGGCCTGGAAGTGGGTGGCCAGGCGCTGGCGCAACCCCTCGCTGTAGGGGGCCACCTGCGTGCGCAGCGTGTCCACGTGGGTGCGCAGCCTGTCGCGCAGATCCGCGGCCAGCGGGGTCACCTTCTCCTGCAGCTCCACCAGCTTCTGGTGCGCGCTTTGGCTAAACTCCTCCTTCAGGGGCGCCACCTTCTGACGGTAGAGCTCCACCTCCTCCTCCCACTTCTTCTGGAACTCGTCCACGTAGGGCTGCACCGTCCGCCTCACCTCCTCCAGGTCCTTGTTCACCGCCTCCCTCAGCCCAGCGGTCTCCTTCTCCACGTTTTCCCAGAACTCCTGGGTCACCGGGACGATCTGCTCCTGCAGTTTGGTGAGGCTGGTGGTCAGGGTGTCCCAGTTGTCCAAGATCTTCAGGCTAAAGGGGAAGAGAGGGACTGAGTGGGTGGTCCCCTGTGGACCCTGAACCACCCAGAGCTGAAAGTTCAGTGCTCCAGCTTATGTATTGGCCACACTTTCCCTCCCAGCTTTTTACTAAACGATTTTGCCCTGTTCTGGGACAACCCATTGGACAGATAAGTTGAGGAGCAGAACGGTGCAATGATTTACCTAAGAATATTCAGCCAGGAAGATATTGCACCTTGTCTGCATCCAACCTGGCCCTTTGAATACTCGCACCCCTTTCCCTATCTGCAGAAGGCAGCCCCCACTGTGGATGAGCCCGCTGGAGGCAGCAGTTCAGAATAGGAAGGCTTTTGTTTACACTTGCAGGCAGATTGGGCCTATGATTACTGCCTGCACAGCATTGGTCTGCCTCTGGCCAGGGGCAGGGCTGTGCCCCAGCATCCCACTGTCTTTTCTCCATCCTGTTGTTTGTTGTTATGTGCCGTCGAGTCGTTTGCGACTCATAGCGACCCTATGTACAACAGCCCTAAACTCTGCTCTATCTTGTGCCAATCGCATTGCCTCTGACATACCCATCCCGATTACCCCAGTCACTGAATCAATCCACCTCATAAAGGGTCTTCCCCTCCTGCGCTGTCCCTCTACTCTACCCAGCATGATGTCCCTGTCTAAAAACCTGTCTCTCCTCACAACACGTCCAAAGTATGACAGACGAAGCCCCAGAATCCTTGCCTCCAAGGAGCCTTTCACAAATTGCCAGTGATCATGGCTACTACATCTTCCTATAGGCCTCTCAGCTCCACAGGACCAGCAGCCCCTCCCCGGGGCCTCAGCACCCCCGTTGGGCCCTTACTTGAGCTGCTTTCCCAAGGCAGAGGTTTCAAGCTGAGTCACATAGTCTTTGCTGCCCTCTTTGACTGTTTCCAAGTAGACGTTGACAAAATCCTTCACTCGATCCCAAGGGGACTGAGGTTCATCCTGCTGCCAGAAATGCCGAGCCTGGCTCCCTAGGGCCGAGAGGGTAAAACAGATCAGGGCTTTCTGCAGGATGGGGGGGCCAAGGTGTAGACCATCTGGGGCACCAAGAAATCATACTCCGGGAAGTTTGACATAGGGGTTAGGGAGAAGGGTCACCTAATATTGATTCCCTAAATTGAGGTTCACTTACCCGTCAGGAAGAGCACGGCCAGGCTCAGCACCACAGCTTTCATTTTGAAGAGATGTGGGTGACCTGGAAGAGAAGAGGGTGACCTGAGTAGAAGCCTGCCTCCAGCATGGGGAAGTCCTGTCCTGTTCCTCTCATTCCAGCAAGGGGAAGAGTGGGCCTCACACTGAGGAAGGCCTCAGGTATCCAGGGCCCCAGTGAGGCTGAGGCAGTGCCTAGAGTCAGGATCCCAGAGCCTGAGCCTCAAGTACCTAGAGTTGTGAGCTCGGAGTCAGGCAGGAGCACTTACCTTGCGCCGTCAGCTGTCCCTTGGGCTCTGGTGGCCAGCTCTCCTCTGGACCTATTTATGTCTCCAGGCAGGGGCAGGGCTATGATGCTGATAAGCTCAGCCAGGGCCTTGTCTCTGCTCACTGGTCCTGGCGATGTGGAACCTAGAGTTCAAGGATCAGCTCAGTGCCTGGGGCCTGGCAAATAGAGTGGGCAAACAGGAAGCCACAGGGGCTGCGGAGCCAGGGGTCAAGGGTTCAGGTGGGGGCAGAGAAGTGTGGTCCCCAAGTCCTGACCAGGATGCCTGTCTCATCTCTTAGTGGGATGTTTGTGTGCTTGCCATTGCCTACTGTGCCAGCCCAGAAAGGGAGCAGAAGGCTTGAACTCCTATCAAGAGATGTGCTCCATACTCCTTCCTTCCCCACGCATTCCAAGGAGATTATTTAACCCCCAGTCCTTGACCCTTCTTCCCTCCCCTGCAGAAGCAGCAGCTATTCCTCTGACAAGCCCTTTGTCTCAGGTCTAGTCCCAGTAAATCCCTCCACACCCATAACCATAAGGGACCATGGAGATAATATTGAATTGCCTCGGAAGCGGGGTGACTCAAGAGCTCCAGCCGTTGAGATTTCAGAGATTTCCAACATTTTAAAACAAGTTCTACTGACTAACACAAAGTGGCCAACTTTTCATTTTGTCATGTGAAAATGGGAAGCAGTTGCCGTCAAGTTAATTTCAACTTGTGTTTGAGAGTAGAGTGGTTTCTGACGCTGATTTTAGGGTAGCAGTTGTATAAGGTTTCTTTGGGGAGGTCTGGGGCCCCCAGCACCATGTCAGTGACAAAGTCTGAATCATAGAACCTGGACTGTCCACGCCGAGAGCAGCACTGAGAGTAACTACTCCAGCTTCTCCCCACCCACAATTTAACTGATGAGGAAATAGAAGACAGTAGAAGGAATTTGCCCAGCATCTCTCAGAGTGTCAGGAGCAGGCTGATCCTAGAATCCAGGTCTCTGGACTTAGGACCCAGGGCAGAAATGTGCCCTTGTATCATTTGCTCAGGAAACTCCCTGACACTCTATAAACCCTGCTGGAGCCTAGAGGGATTAATCTCCAGACCTCTTCCAGGCTAGCCAGTCTTATGCCTCTTGTCTCAGAAAAGGTGACTTTGGGGCCAGTCTTAGTCTTGAGTCCCATCCATCTTAGGTCACTTATTAGCTGTTTCGCTTTGAGAAAATGTTATAGCCTTCCTTGCACTCCAGTTTCTTATCTGTTAAGTGAAGATAATGATAGAACAAACATGCAATCTGCTAGAACGTGTATGATAGGTAAAATAATGGCCCATATTCAGAACAGATCATTCTAGAGGCTAGACATTATGAGGAGGAATGTGGCATTAGGATTGCAGGAAGATTCATCAATAACCTGTGTTATGCAGATGACATAATCCTGCTTGCTGAAACTGAAGAGAACATGAGGCATTTGCTGTAGAAGGTCAAGGACTGTAGTCTTCAGTATAGATTGAAGCTCATCATCAAGAAAAACAGATTCTCACTACTGGACCTATTGGCAGCTTCATTATGAACAGAGAAGATATTGAGATTGTTGATAACTTCAGCTTGCTTCGTTCCACAGTCAACACTATTGGCACCAGTAGTAAAGAAATCCAAAGACGAATTGAATTGGAAAAGTACTAAGAAGCAACTATGTCAATCTGGAGACTAAGGTGCGCCTGACCCAGGCCATGGTCTTCACAATTCCTTGCTATGCATCAGAGAGCTGGACAATAACTAAGGATGATAGAAGAAGGATTGGTACCTTTGAGTTGTGGTGCTTAAGAAGAGTGTTGACTGCCAGGGGAGCAAACCGTTTTGTCCTGCAGAGGGTGAAACCAGTTTGTTCCCTGGAGGCAAGGATTTTGAGGCTCCATCTCACATACTTTGGGCACATGACCAGGAAGGATCAGTCCTTGGAGTGGTATATCACGCTTGGAAAGATGGAGGGACATCGTGCTTGGAAGGGTGGAGGGACAGCATGAGAGAGGGAGACCCAGGATGAAATGGATTGACTCAGTGACTGGAGCAATAATGGGATTAGGACTGTTGGAGACGATGAGATTGGTTCAGGATTGGGCAGCTTTCAGAGCTAATGTACTTGATGGCACATAACAACAAAGATGTCTATTATGATCCTATTTTTCACTGATCCCACATCTTTCCAAATACAATGTTCCTTTCCAAGAAATAGTCTCTCCAAGCAACATGTCCAAAATATGAGGGATGAAGCTTTGACATCTTTGCCTCTAAGGATCATTCTGGCTGTACTTTCTCCATGACATACCTGTTTGTTCTTTTGTCAGTCCATGGACTATTCAGTACTCTTTTCCAACATCACAGCTCAAAGGCATTAATTCTTCCTCTGTCACCCTTATTAATTGTCCAGCTGTCAAGTGTATCAGAAATGCCAAGGACGGCACAGGATAGGGCAGGGTTCAGATCTGTTGTGCACAGGGTTGCTGTGAGTCCTACTTGACTCAACTGCTCCTAACAACCACCACCACCAAGATGTCTCTGGAACTCTGGAGGTCTAGTGGGTGAGGAGTTGTACTGCCAGTTCAATGGTACAATGGTGCAAATCTATCAGCTGCTTTGCAGGAGGAAAATGTGCAATCTCTTCCATGTGATTTACTGACTCTGAAAACCAGCTGGAAGGTCAGCTATGTGTCAGGCCTGACTCTGTGTTCATTACATTACATTACACACACACACACATACACACCCCAAGAAAGAAACAGAGAGACACACAGAGACACACACACACACCAGAGAGAGAGAGAGCCAGCCATTTCACTCTAGAACCTATGAACGTGTTACCTTACATGGAAAAAAGAGAATTTGCAGATATAATAAGTGCAGGACCTTGAGATGGGTAATTATCCTGGATTATCCAGGTGGGCTGCCAAGGAAGAAGGGTATGATTCCTAAAAGATGGTCTTGAGCTGAAGAGTGTGCATGGCCTCCAAAAGCTAGAAAAGGAAAGGAAATTGATCCTTCTCAGTGCCTTCAGACAGAATGCAGCCCTGCCAACGCCTTGGTTTTAGCCTAACAAGACCCATTTTAAACTTTTGATCTCAAGAATGGTAAGGTAATAAATTTGTGTTATTTTAAGCACACAACTCTGTGGTAATTTGTTACAGCAGCAACAGAAAACTAATACAGTATGTGTGTAAAACTGTCGGATAGGTACCTGTGGTTACATGCCATTGAGCCAATCCTGACTTATAATAACCCCATAGCATTTTCTTGGCTATAATCTTTATAGAAGCAGATTGATCACCAGGTCATTCTCCAGAAGAAACACTGGGTGAGTTCAAACTATCAACTTTGGTTACCAGCCAAGTGTTTAATCGATAGATCACGAAGGCTCCTTAGAAGGGGAACTGGCCCTTAGGAAACTGTAGCTAGTGTATTACTGGAATCCCAGCTTCTGCATTTCATTCTCTTGTTCCCACAAACCCTCTTGCATTGGTGGATGATGGCTCTCCATTCTCATACACTGCACAGACCTCAGCTTTCAGTTGGGGATGTCAGAAATCTCATGTTGCTCTGCTTGCTCCTAACCAGTAGATGCTGAGAGAACATATTTTTTTCCAGGAATGAACCTGAAAGCTGTGGGATCTCATAGAGTGGGAGGAGCTCCCGTGAATGACCTGCAGGGTGGAGGGACCCACCATGCGGCCATTTCTAAGCTTGTGCTTATAGTCTTGAGTGGGAGACTGGTCCCCTGCTGGGGAAGCTCACAGGTGTCTCAGGCCAAGACATCTTCTTTCTTTTTTTAGGGTGGAGCTAGTACAAAACAGCATGTGGAGGGGTAGGCCTTGTAGATTGATTCCAAACAGTTGCCACTGTTTTAACCTTCTCTGGTTTATTTCAGAAATGGCTAATATTGTTGTTAGGTGACACTGAATCAACTATGACTCATAGCAACCTCATGAACAACAGTTTTGAATCTTGACCAAGCCTCATGATGTCCGAAATGCTCAAGCCTATTGTTATAATCACTGTGTCAACTGATCTTGTTGAGGGTCTTCCTCTCTTTATCTGACCCTTCTGCTTTCCCAGCATGATGTCTTTTCCCAAGGACTGACTTCTGACAACACGTCCAGGGTATGAGATGAAGTGTCAGCATCCTTGCCTCCCAGGAGCACGGGACTGAACTTCCTCCAAGGCAGGGTGGTTTGTTTTTTGAATGGGTCTACGGTATACTCATTGTCTTTTCAACATCACAATTCAAAGGCATTGATTCTTTGTTGGTCAACCTCATCCATTGTTTAACTTTCAGATGCATAAGAAGTACTTGAGTTTCCTGTGGCTTCAATCAAGTGCACCTTAGTCTTTAACCGTATATTCTTGCCCTTTAGCACTTTTTTTAACATAAAAAATGTCTTAATTTTTTTCATTGTTGCAGTTTCTTACCCCCTTCCCCAGCCCTCCCTACATCACACCCCTTATTCCATATCATTGTCATGCATATAATCATACACTCTTTTCAGACAGTTCTTCCCCTCATCTGATGTATTTTCCTATTCTCTCCCCAACCTTCCATGTCTGTCATATTTTATAAAAGCAGTATTATGCAGTATTTGTCCTTTTGTGACTGAGATATTGCACTCAGCATAATGTCCTGCAGGTTCTCCCATGTTGTGTAATGTTTTATGAGTTCATTGTTTTTCAATGCTGAGTAATATGCCATTGTATGAATGTACTATAGTTTTCCTATCCA